GCGAGGGATCAAACCCGGTTCAGTCATGTGCAAGGCAAGCACTGCACTCTCTCTCTGGTCCCCAGCTTCCTCTAAAACCCACCCAAGCACAGGTTCCCCTGCACTTCCCAGGGCTGCGTAACTCAAGCCTCAGCCCCAGGCTCTCATCCAGGCCCATGTGGAGCAGCAGAAATGACCGGAAGCTCATCCGCACCGATGGATCAAGACAACAGCCTGGAGACCAGCAGGGCAGACGCCCAAAGGTGCCTTCACGGCCGCACACTGAGGCTGCTCAGGAGAAGAACTTCAACCAAGGACAAGGAGAAGCAGATAAAGGCCAGGAAGACATAACAGAGCCAAACTCTGCAGCAGAATTTGAAAATACCATTGAGAGGGGCTAGAGCAATAGCACAGCGGGGATGGCATCTGCCCTGCACGCGGGTGACCCAGGTTCGATCCCCGGCATCCCAGATGTTCCCCCAAGCACCACCAGGAGTGATTCCTGAGTGCAGAGGCAGGAGTCATCCCTGAGCATCGCCAGGTGTGGCCCCAACCCCCCCAAACAACAAAACCAAACCCCAAAACACCATAGATTCTTCAACAAGATTGGAAGAAGCTGAAATGAAATCAGTGAACCCAAAAAGAGGAGGAAAAGGAGGAAAAACAGACCAAAAGAATAGGGCTCTCTGGGAACCCAGAGCAGGGTTCAAATGTGCACCCCCCACTGAGTGACTCCAGGTCTGCTGGGGGTGGCATTGGGGCGTGTTTTTGAAGCCTTCTGGAGCAGGGCGCAGCCCAGACTAACCCCACGGCCTTACACCCTCCAGCCTCGCCTCCCCAGCCCAGCCTCCCTGCACAGTCTCAGCAGCACAAAGCGGACACTCAAAAATATTTGTGTTGGGGCTGGAGCGATAGCACAGCGGGTAGGGTGTTTGCCTTGCATGCAGCCGACCCAGGTTCGATTCCCAGCATCCCATACGGTCCCCTGAGCAGCGCCAGGAGTAATTCCTGAGTGCATGAGCCAGGAGTAACCCCTCTGCATCGCCGGGTGTGACCCAAAAAGAAAATAAAATATTTGTGTTGACCCGAAACCACAAATACTCACCAGGTTGAATCAATATTGTTCTTTTCTTGGGAGTTTTAAGAGAAAGAGCCACCTGCTGGGCGCCTGTCAGGCTGTGCTGCCTGGTTGACTGCAGGGGTGGGATGAGGGCAGCAAGGAGCCACCACCCTAATGTAGCAGACGGATGCCCTGTCAGGGCCCAGGCCACGTGGGACAGGGCCAACTATAACTGCCGCAAGAGATGTTCAGGAGCTTCTGCCCCTCCAAAGAAACAGTGACCAAAGTACAAAGACAGTCCACAGAATGGGAAAGGATATTCGCCAAATACACATCCGACAAGGGGTTGATATCAAGGATATACAAAGTACTGGTTGAACTCCAAAAGAAGAAAACATCCAACCCCATCAAAAAAATGGGGCAACGAAATGAACAGAAACTTTCTCAAAGAAGAAATTCGAATGGCAAAAAGGCACATGAGAAAATGCTCTACATCATTAATGATCAGGGAGATGCAGATCAAAACAACAAAGAGATATCATCTCACACCTCAGAGACTGGCCCACATTCAAAAGAACAAAAGCAACCTGTGTTGGCGCGGATGTGACGAGAAAGGGACCCTCCTTCACTGCTGGTGGGAATGCCGACTGGTTCAACCCTTCTGGAAAAGAGTATGGACGATTCTCAAAAAATTAGAAATTAAGCTCCCATTTGACCCAGCAATACCACTCCTGGGAATATACCCTGGAGAGGCAAAAAAAAGTATAGTCTAAGCGACATCTGCAGTTGTCTATTCATTGCAGCACTGTTTACAATAGCTAGAATCTGGAAAAAACCTGAGTGCCCAAGAACAGATGTTAAAGAAGCTTTGGTACATCTACACAATAGAATACTATGTAGCTGTCAGAAAGGATGAAGTCATGAAATTTACATACAAGTGGTACTATATGGAAAGTATCATGCTAAGCGAAATGAGTCAGGAAGAGAGGGATAGACAGAAAGATTGCATTCATCTGGGGAACATAAAGTAACAAAATAGGAGACTAACACCCAAAAATAGCCAAGATAAGTACCAGGAAGATTACTCCATGGCTTTGAGGAGAGCCGCACATGCTAGGGGAAAAGGCAGCTCAGATAGAGAAGGGAGCACCAAATAAAGAGTGTTGGGAGGTTCCTCTCAGGATAGGAAATATGTGAGGAGAGTAGACTATAGACTGAACAAGATTGCCACTCAATGTCTCTTTTGCAAACCACAGCACTCAAAAGGAGAGATAACAAAAGGGAATGCCCTGCCACAGAGGCAGGGTGGGATGGGGGGGAAGGGGGTGGGAGGGACACTGGGACTGGTGGTGGTAGAGAATGGACACTGGTGGAGGGATGGGTACTCAATCATTGTATAACTGAAACCCAAGCACAAAAATTTGTAAGTCTACAACTGTACCTCATGGTGTTTCACTAATAAAAATTTAAGAAAAAAAAAAGAGAGAGAGATGTTCAGGACCCAAGTCCCTTGACTGCGAGTCCCTTGCCAGAGGGCCAAGAGCTATTCCTGCTCGGCCCAGGGCACTGCGGAGGCCCAGTCCTACCTGCCAGCTCATGGCCTTGCTCTGTACTGCTCACTCATGTCCTGACAGACAGACAGACAGATGGTCCTGTTGAAGCAGGCAGGGAGACAGGGAAGCACCCCCCCTCAAGCCCCTATGACAATGGAGTTCTGGGAAGTAGTAAACCCAACAGCCCTGAGGTTGTGAAAGCCCACCCGTGGACAGAGGAACGGAGGCCTGAAGGAGCCTCTCCTGTGCCACACAGACCCAGGGCAGGCGGGACCCTGGGAGAAGCCCCAGCGGGAGCGAAGGGCAGAGAAGGAAAGCAAAGAACACCAACTGCTCCTGGGAGGAGCGAGAGCACAGCAGGTAGGGTGTTTGCCCTGCATGCGGCGAACCCGGGTTCTATCCCCTGCCAACCCATAGGGTCTCCCAAGCAGCACCAGGAGTGAGTCCTGAGTGTAGAGCCATAAAAAGAGTCTGCTCCCCAAATCTTGCCTTGGCAACCGCCCTAGCAACGGACTCTAACGGAGGTAGAGAGCCCACGGGGAAGCTGGAGCAGCCAACTTGAACAAAGGCAGTGCGTGCGTGTGCTCTCCGTGCCCGTGAGCTACTGCCGAGTGCATGTGGTACCCAAGCATACATGTCTCCCGCATGTCCCCTCTTGAGATGTGGACGTCCATATCTCACCTGGACGAATGCTGGGCCCCTCTGCTCTCTCTGCCCTAGCCCTTTCTCCAAACTTCCAAACAAAATCTATTCTACTTCACTTCTCATCTCCTGAAGTTCTTCTCTGAGAACAATTTCAAATGACGGGACTGGGAGCTGGAGCGATAGCACAGCGGGTAGGGCGTTTGCCTTGCACGCGGCCGACCCGGGTTCGAGTTCCAGTATCCCATATGGTCCCCCAAGCATCGCCAGGAGTAATTCCTGAGTGCAGAGCCAGGAGTAACCCTTGAGCATCGCCAGGTGTGACCCCCCCCCAAAAAAAAATCAAATGACAGGACTGCTCCAGATAATAAAGGTGTGCCCATCCTTTCCTGTAAGGAGCTGGGCTTGCAGTCCTAGGTTTCCCCAGCTGTTCCGAGTGGCAGAGCTGGATAGAGAGAAAGTAACATATTCCCTTCTCCAGGCAGCTTTCTTTCTCCTCTGCTCCTCACATAAGTCACCCGGGAACCCTCCGGTATCATTAGTAACATGGTCTGGCACAGACTCTCTCTGGAAACCAAGCCAGCTCATGGGCATGAAGGCCTGAGACACAGAACCCATCTGAGGAGACTGGAAAACTCCACCACGCAGAATTTCAGGCCCAGAGCAGGCTGGGCCCCCTAGGAGGAGAGGCCCAAAGCTGGGGCCAGGGTCATGCTAAGAACATCAAAGACCATCAACAGCTCCAAACGCTCCACCTTGGCAACCACCCTAGCAACGGGCAGTTTGGGGAAACTACACAGGCCACTCTGGCAGAAGCCGAGGCTCCCACTTCCCGTCCTGGGAAGCTTTAGCTTGATGTGCAGAGTCTCCATCCTGGGCTCTCTCTGCCACTCTCCTGGGGATGTATACTTGGCTCTCTGCTCAAGAGAAGCCCTCTCTCTCTCTCTCTCTCTCTCTCTCTCTCTCTCTCTCTCTCTCTCTCTCTCTTTTTCTCTCCTCAGTCCCCAAATAAACTTCTCTTACTTCACAATTTGTGTCTCCTTCCTGAAACTCTTTTCTGTGAGAGAAGGCGACTAGAGCTGGAAGAGCCTAGGTCAGATTTAGGACTGACTTTCCTTTCCCTCAAAGAGCAATTGGTCACTCCGTTCTGAGTTCCACAGCTCCTGAGAAACACGTGGCCGGGATCATTTCCCAGGTGGGGCAGAACAAGTGGGAGCCGGGAACAGTTTGACCGCTGCCTCGTGAGGCAGGTGAGATGTGAGATCTGGGGCTCAGGGCAGACTCTATCAGTCCTAGAGTTCTGTGGGCAGTGCCCCGGGTGGCCAAGGTGGGCGACCTCTCTAAGGGGTCTCTCCTCCCCACTTCACATAAATCACGCACAACACCAGGTGGGGTGAGAATAGTTGCCATGGAGACCGTGACACTGATCACAGAGGAAATGACGGGACTCCTCCAGACAAGAAGGTCAAATGGGAGCCCGGCGGAAGTACAATGAGCAGGGCACTTGCCTCGCATGCAGTCAACCCGGGTTCAATCTCCGGCACCCCACTTGGTCCCCTGAACCCACTACGAGTGATTCTTGTGCACAGAGCCAGGAGTAAGCCCTGAGCACCGTTGGGTGTGCCCACAACCCCTCAAAAACAAAAAAAAAGGTTGGATGAGCATGTTCTGTGGTCCCAACCTTCTCAGGAACAGGCAAGATGAGTTTTCTAAACATAAGAACTTGCTCCAACACAAAGTAAGCTTAGGGCCAAGACATCTTTATTTTAAAAGCCGATGGTGTTGTTGAAGAAGAGGCTGTGTTCTCGGCCCATTTTGGCGATGGTCCGGGGCTGCCTGGGGAATTGCTTGGAAGGCGTGTAAGCACCTGGGCCGGGGGTTTTCTGAAACCAGAACAGAGCACGGTGATCAGGCGATGCCTCGTGGCCTGGCTCCTGGCTGGGATGATCTCCAGGCCCTGCAGGGAGATGGAGTGCTCCCCTGGGCTGGACAATGGAGCTGCAGTGCTCCCCCTTCCTGTTAGGGGCTCCCTGAGGTTGCAGAGGGAGAAATGACAGTGAGGCCCAGAGATCTCACAGCTGCACCTCAGGGAACCATATCCCCTGGGGGCGAGGACCCTGCTTGCGAGGTGACCCTAAAAAGACCCAACGTGCCTGTTTCCTTCCTGGGCCCACCCTGGTCCCTGGGGACCACAACTGCTCTATAAGTTCCCATCTTTCCCAGTCATCTCCACTGGCACACAGTCAGTCCGTTTTGAGAAAATTTGTTGGGGGGTGGGGAGGGTACATGGGAGAGGGGAATTACTTAGTTATTTAGAAACTCAGCTTGTGCTGGCATGTTAAGGGGGGTCATTTTTGTGTCCTGGACAGCATTTCCCATGCCAGGGGCAAACTCCGTCTTTTTTGTTTTTTTTTAAAGATTAAGATTGGGGCTGGAGCTATAGCACAGTGGGTAGGGCGTTTGCCTTGTACACGGCCTGACCCGGGTTCGATTCCCAGCATCCCATATGGTCCCCTGAGTGGCCAGGAGTAATTCCTGAGTGCATGAACCAGGAGTAACCCCTGTGCATCGCCGGGTGTGACCCCCCAAAAAAAACAAATAAGATTAAGATGTTTATTTTTATTGAGGCTGTGGGTCACCCGTGGTGCTCAGGGCTTACTCCCGGCCCTCGGCGGGGCTCTGGGGACCATAGAGGGGGCACCGAATCAGAACGTGCTGTGTGCCAGGTCTTACCCTCTGTGCCATCTCTCTGGCCCAGGCACTTTGGCGCAAGTCTTGGCACCAAAGGCGTTTTCTGCTGGAGAGACGCAGAGTATGAAGGTAGGGCTCCGGGGTCAGTCTTGGTTTAAATGCTAGTCTCAGTATCTGTTCTCCATGACCCTGGGCCAGCACTGTCCCTGCCCCACCTGCCCATCACAGGGGCCAAGACCACTGGCCTCACCAGAGCATGTGGCGACCGTGACTATTATCGCAAGCCTGGCGTCTGCGGCCTCCCACAGGCTGTTATCACAGCAGGAGACAGAGCGCGGAAACAGGGTTACCCACAAGCGGGGCTGAGCTAGCCTGGGGCAGCCACCAGCTGCAGGAGCCACTGCAAATGACAGGATGCTTCCTGTGCCAAAACTGAAGGAGCAGCCTGGAAATCCAATCAAGTCCCAGCGGGGCATCCAAAGGAGCCCAGGCCTTCCTTAGCAGCGTTCTGGAAGGTGGGCCCACGGAACAGAAGGCTTACCCCACCGTGCAGGAAGACCCAAACAGCATCCGGCTCCACTCCTGCTGCAGCCCTGGTCCCACTCGCAAGCCCAGGGAGCTCCTGAGAAGGCAGTCACTACCCATTGTGACTCCCGCTTCCTTCTGAGTTCTGACAGAGACCCATGTGTGTGCATGTGTGTGTGTTTGTGTGTGTGTGTGTGTGTGTGTGTGGGACACCTCAGTGAGGACACGGGGGTTGTGTATGTAGGGAGGACCTGCTGAGGATATCTGCCCGCTACCTGCTGCCAATTCTTATTTAGTTAGTGTTTTAGTTTTGGGGCCACACCTGGCGATGCTCATGGGTTCATCCTGTCTCTGCACTCAGGAATCACTCCTGGCGGAGCTCAGGGAACCCTATGGGATGCCGGAGGTCGAACCTGGTTTGACTATGTGCAAGGTAAACACCCTCCCCGCTGTGCTATTGCTCTGGCCCTGCCTGCTGTCAGCTTTTAATGTAGCAGCCAGTCCTCCTGCGCCCTCCCCACACACAGGCCTGGCCACTCCACACTCGAACAGCCCTGCAGAAGCACCTGCAGACACCCAAGGCAGCTTCTCTGCCTACTAACCCGATATCCTCCCCAGGTACCGTTGATGTCTCACCCCAAGGTCTACAGACCCACAAACTCAAAGGCAATCTCTAGCCAGGGCACTGCCGGGAGCCACGAGCCATGGGAATGAAAGCTGTCTTTCAGTGTTCCAGGACAAACGCCGCGTTTCCAGAACCCGTCTTCTGTCTTTCGGAATACTCACTGAGCAGAGAGGCAGGAATCGAGGTACTTTAGACTGAAAACAAGAAGTAACGCAAGTTGTCGGAGGGATTTTCATGTCATAGTGACCTGGGCCTGGGCCTTCGTGCTACAGGGTAGGGGAAAGGGAAAGATGGCAAAGTTGTTAATCTCTGAGACATCTGAATGCTTGCTTTGCTCTCCACAATAGATATGGACATATAAATATATACTTAAAATATATTATTGCATAGATATTTCAAAACTTTGCAACATGGAGTTAAACATGATATTCAAACTACCCCCTCTTTGTAGGACTGCATCCAAAGAAAACCATGAGGAAAGTATGTAAAATCTTGGTCCTCAAATTTTGCTATAATGTCTCTAAAAGTTGAAAATTAAAAACACCAAAGCCAGGTGACTGACTTAATAAATGGGGACCCTGGGGCTGTAGAGACAGTACAGTAGGTAGGGCACTTGCCTTGCATTCGGCTGACCTAGGTTCTATCCCCGTTATCCCATATGGTCTCCTGAGTCCTACCAGGAGTGATCCCTGGGCACAGAGTCAGGAGTCATCCCCGAGCACAGCTGAGTGTGCCACCTCCATGAAAAAGTGAAAAAAAACGCCCTCTCCTCTCTGGAAAGAAAGATGGCGGCCGCACGGGAGCCTTGTGGACAGCAGGTTTGAGCCGGGGGTGGGGGCGGCAGGGACCTCATGGGAAGGGGGGCGTTCCAGTCCGTCCTTCACACCCTACCGAGGTCACCAGTTGCCCCCCACGAGCGGCTCTCCGGCACGGCCACGACTCCAGAGCACAGAAACCAATTTCTTAACTATCTAACTTTTAATAGAAATACTTCCATGGTTAATAAGTAAAACAGCAGAAATCCAAAACCGCGCGGCACGACCGCGCAACATCATTTAATTCTTAAAACCCAGCTGTAGAAAGCAAATCATTTCACAACACTGTTTCAGCATGTCTGATTGGGGGGGGGGGGGGTCGTAAACTCTAAACAATAATGGTGCATCTTTTATCGAAACAATGAATCTAGTCAAAGCAGATAGAGTGTTAACTAGAACTCATCTGCCTCACAGGAATTGGGAGGGGTGGGAGGTGGGGTTCTATTGGGGTTCGCGGTTAAAAATAAGTATTGGTAAAGGGAAATGTGTTTGATATTTACATGACTGAGACCTAAACCTGAAAGCTCTGTAACTTTTCCCATAGTGATTCAATAAATAAATAAATTATTTAAAAAAAAGAGGGTGGGGGGTGGGGTTTTATTGGGGTTCTTTGTGGTAAAAAATAAGTGTTGGTAAAGGGAAATGTGTTTGATATTTGCATGACTGAGACCTAAACCTGAAAGCTTTGTAACCTTTCCCACAGTGATTCAATAAATAAAAAAATAAATAAATAAAAATAAAATAAAATAAAAAAGAAAGAAAAAGTGAAAAAAAGGTGGGGGAGGGGGATTCTTCCATTCAACTGTAGAGGGAGGATAAATTTTTATGGACCTAAAGGCTTTTTTTGGATAATGTTAAGTAAACAGTGCAAGATTTCCCCCATGTCTGATGCAGTTCCCTTTCCAGCATCCGAGCCATGAGTCCCTTGCAATGAAGGTCAGGCTTTGGGGAAGCCCTGATGGGTCATGGTGCCACCCAACTGCCTCCCTGGCTTTGGTCATGGGTCAAAGGAACCATGGTTTGGGGCAGAAAGGAATGACCCACAGCTGTGTGCTTCACTTCTACTAGCTGGAACCTTTTCAATGTTGCTCTGCACCCCACATGCGTGGAAAGTGCTCTGCCATGGAGCTACACCCCAGGGCCACAGAAGAAATCTTTGGTTTGGTTTTGTTCTGTTTTGGGGACCAGGCCCGGCAATGCTCATAGGTTACTCCTAGCTCAGCACTCAGGAATTACTCCTGGTGATGATCAGGGGACCATATGGGAGCCGAGGCTCGAGCTCAGGTCAGCCACATGCAAGGCAAGCACCTTCCCCACTGCACTATTGCTTCAGGCCCCAGAAGAAATCATTGAAACGGGAATTATCAGTGCTGGAGAGATAGTGCAGGGGTGAGGTGCTTACCTGGCCTGCTGCAGACCCTGGGCCCCCTGAGCACGGCCAGGAGAGACCCCAGGGCTTAGCACCAGGAGTAACCCCAGAGTACTGCAGGGGCACCCCCAGACCAGTCCACCCGAAATGAGGGTGTGTTAGGGGAGAAGATCAGTATCTGCTTATTCCTAGATCCTATTCCAGAAGACTCCGGAGCACTTCCCCAAGTCCACAGAGGCAGCTATTTCTCCTCCTGCCCCCCTAGGATGACAGAGTGTGTGGAGCAGAGCGGGAGGGAGGGGACCTGGTCCCCAGGGCTCGTGGGCGGGCAAATGGATCTGGGACAAGAGCATGTTTAAGAGGACATGCGCCCAGGTGCTACTTTTCTATGTTACAGATTCTGCCCCCATCTTCCCCCCTGCCCCCCGCCATGTACGGGTTTCCCAGGCTTGCTCTGGGCTCACATTCGCACAAGTCGGTGGGGGGGAGGGGTGGCTCCTGGGATGAACAGGCAGTACTAAGCTACTAAGCACTTCTTACACAAGTGGAATGCGCCAGGTTTTTTTTTTTTCTTCTGCAGGGGTGAAGGATGGATTCACGCCCAGCAGTGCTCAGGGCTCTCTCCTGGTGGGGCTGCAAGCAAGGCCTGGAATTTGCTAGCTCCTGTTATTTTTTAAACCATGTATTTAGTTTGTTTTGTTTTTGTGTTTGAGCATCATGCCTGGGGATGTTCAGGGCTTACTCCTGGCTCTTCACCCGGGAATTTTCCTGGTGGTGCTTGGGGGACCATATGGGATGCTGGGGATTGAACCTAGGTTGGCCACGTGCAAGGCAAGCGCCCGCCCGCTGTGCTATTGCTCCAGCCCCTAAACCATACTCGTATTGCGCCATGCTTGGGCCACTCTGGGTTTCCCAGAGCTAAACACATCAAGCACCACTAACATTCGGTGAGAAAGAAAAGAGACTTGTTACCTTCCCAGAACCAGCTGGCCTACAAGACTGCTGGGAAGCTTTTGGAGTACCCTCTGCTTAGCCTGGGTGATTCCATCTCAACCCTCCGACAAAATCTTATCTTTCTTTGCCCTTTGGAAAGGTTTTCCTTGAGGGCAGATTTAACCCAGGAGAGCACCAGGAATTACACAGATGAATCAAGCATGATCTTTGACCTCAGGCCAGCAAGGAATGGAAGAGAAACAAACAAAAAACACTCACAGGAATCTTAGCAATAGGACTGTGGGGAGGCTACTTGCCTCCCAACCCTGCTGGGTGACTGACTGTCAACCTGGGTTCAATCCCCGGCACCCCATAAGGTCCCCTGAGCACAGCCAGGAAGATTCCTGCATGTAAAGTCAGGAGTAACCTGTAAGCATTGCTGGGTATGACCCAAAACCCCCCAAAAGAAGGGGGAAAAAAAACCAAAAACAAAAAGTATCCCCAGAAGAATCAATGAAACTGTAAGATGCCCTGAGGATCCACAGTTGGAAGCCTGCCTCCTGAGCAGGGGGAGAAGGCAACTGGGAGAGAGACGGGATCACTAAGTCAATGATGGTTGGAGGGATCGCTCAGGATGGGAGATGTGTGCTGAAAGTAGTCTATGATGGCCTCTCAGTATCTGTATTGCAAACCATAATGCCCCAAAGTAGAGAGTAAGAAGTAAAGTGCCTGCCATAGAGGGAGGGGGTGAGGTGGGGTGGGGGTGGTGGGAGGGATACAGAGGGATCCTGGGGACATAGGTGGTGGGAAATGTGCACTGGTGGGGGGATGGGTATTCCATCATTGTATGACTGAAACTCAATCATGAAAGCTTTGTAAGTCTATCTCACGGTGATTCATTAAATAAATAAAGAAACAAATAAATATTTTTAAGTTTTAAAGAAAGATGCTGTGAGGAGCTGGATGCAGCCGTGTGAGGGCTGAGCGGTCAGCCAGGCTTGGGCCTGCTAAATCCGACTTTTCTGCGTCTGGCCAGTGCTAGCGAAGTGCTGAAACCTGGCCAGAGATCAGTGTTGGATAAGGACAAATGTTCTTGCACCAACACCTAAAGGACAGCCTTAGGCTAACTTTCCCCCAAGGTCTAACCCTTACTTTGCTTAGATCTGAAGATGAGACAGCGATTGCCTTAGGACACCAGTCTGTGAGGGGGGTTTATTGTTTATTCTGGAAGCCACAGGTCAGCAGCCCATCCTTTCTCCTCCATTCTGTCCCAGAACATCTCTGAGGACAGGAGCCATCTTCCAGCTCTGCTGGGTGACTGACTGTCCAGTAAGGTTCTTTCTCCACCTAGCATCTTGTCCGTTGTTTTTTGTTTGATTTTGGGGGCCACCCCTGGTGGTGCTCAGGGGTTAGTCCTGGTCCTGCACTCAGGAACATCCTCCTGGCGGTGCTGGGGGAACTTTCTGTGGTGCCAAGGGTCAAACCTGCTGAGCCATCACTCTGGACCCTTGCCTGTCACTTGGGTGGCCCTCAAGTGGCAGGGAACTAGACCTTCGCAGTTACAGTACAATCTCAACGGGACGCTGCCAAGAGTGGAAATTTCCACTTACTCCGACGCACTCAGAATACACAGCCCCACTGGGAGAGTATTCTCGGGGGCTCCCTGGAGCTCCAGGAAGAGCCACCGGGACTTAGGGCTCACAGCCCAGCACAGGCATCTCGCAAACCCCAACTTGCCCGCATGAGTGGACGTGGCGGGTAGTCTGCACACCACCACTCGGAAACTAAAGACTGTGAGAGTCAAGGAAAGTACCCCAACTCATTCCTGCTGAGTGGGGTCCCCCTCCCCGAAACACATTCAGAGTGTAAAAAACATTTTGTCCTTGTTGTTGGGCCACACCCGGTGGTGCTCAGAGCTCACTCCCAGTTCTGCACTCAGGGGTCACTCCTGGTGGGCTCGAGGGACCATATGGGATTGAACTGTATGCCAAGGATTGAACCTGGGTGGGCCACATGCAAGGCAAGTGCCCTACCTGCTGTACTGTCACTGTAGCATCTCATACCTTTAAAAAAAAAATTAATCCTAGTATATCACTAACTATATTTGAAATGTTATATTTTCCCCCAAAATTTAACTGCCACACTAGAG